AACCCCCTGTCGCGCAACTTTAAAGACACTGACACTCATGCCCTACTTCACAAGAAAAGCTACCATCCACGGTACACTTTCCAGGGGCTAATTAAGTCCCAACTGATACGATTCCACCGTATTTGCTCGAATCAGGAGGATTTCGAAACGGCCACAGCAACATTATTCGCGGCGGTCAGACAGAGGGGATATGCTAAATGTTTCCTTAGACAAATTAAGTCCAAATTTCTGAGGAATCCGATAGCCCCACGGGCCCAAACTGAAACAGAAAAGATTATACCACTGATAACCACATACTCGGATTACACAACGCAGATTAACAGGGTGGTAAAGGACAAATTTGAGAAATTAAAAAAGGAGGTCACCACATTAGGGGGCTCCAGAATCGTATCTGCATACAGAAGGAATAGAAACATCAAAGATTGGTCAGTCAACAGTAGGTTGAGAAAACAAGGTACTAAAGGCTGTGGAAACACACAATACGGTATGTGTAAATATCTAGCCACCCCCAAAAAAAAGAGAACAGAATGGGGACATCAGTGACTACACACTACAAAATTAAGTGCGGCCAAAATAATGTGATCTATGCAATTAGATGCAAAAAATGCCAGATCTTGTACGTGGGGGAAACGAGTAACACACCGAGGACAAGAGTTACAGGTCACCTCAGTGCAATCAGAAATAATAGGGACAAATTAATAAGCAGGCACTTTATAGAACATGGGGGGGGATTCGATTGAAGTCATGAATTCTATAGGAACTGGACCACAGCACAGAGGAAAGCGAAGGAGCGGGACTGGATTAGGAAACTGCAATCCGTGACACCAGACGGCTTAAACCCCCAGTAAAACAGAAAGCAAACAGAAAAATTTGAACCCTAACTCTAGGAGAAAGTTTTGGAAAGGGTCAAACTGGGTTACTTCTTAATAACCTCAGGGAAAGGGGGCCGTGAACAGGTGACCAGGGCCAAAAACTGGCAATAAGAATGCGGACAAATTGAACATTCACTTTCTGGCCCACTGATAACCCCTGTCGACAAAAATTAAAACGGGATCCAGAAGAATTTTTCAGAAGAGTCAAAATGGGGACTTCTTTACTGGCAAATACAGTTTAGAATAGCAGATGGACTCCTGCAAACAGTCTGTGTGCGAACTGACTCCTGATCTTCCACACAGACAGCAGCTGCCAAACACAGCAATTGGTGGTCACTGGGCCTAAAGCCGGTCAATCAGACATAAGGGTAGGGACAAATTGATAAACATACACTTCATGGAACATGGGGAGGAATAAATTCCTGTTGGGCCTAACCCTAACTACCACAAACCTAACCCCTAAACCAAACCTAAAGCCCTAACCCCTACCCCTAAAAAATTACCACCAAAAAATTACAGTAAGGGGTCCAAAAATAACCCACCCCACGATTCAGATAAGACAAAACGTTCAGGAGCCCGAGCCAAATTGGATGAAACTCCAGCACAAGGTACACCTGGGGAACACAAATTGGTGTGAAAAGAGCCCCGAAATTGTAATTTTATTTTTAAAAAATATTTCTAGTGTCACGGCAAACGCTCCCCAATGAAAAAACCAGATCGGTCAACACACGTCAAAGCCAAGCTACGGGCCTGTCATGGTGATACCAAAAACAAGGGGGTCCCCAAGGGGACGGCCAGTTTTGAGGGGAGCAATTACGTGCCACAGAGGAAACAAATTGACAGGAGGTGATGATAGGATATTAAAAATAAAACAGGCTCGGGACCTCCGAGAAACGATGCGATTTTTCCCAAACCTAACATTTTCCTAAAACCTGATTTCGGCTAATGAAGGGTCAGGCCAGTTTTTGGCGAAAAACAATAAAAAAAATCGGAGTTTCCTCCCCAAACTAATTTAAAATAGCTTTTAAAAGAGCAGACTGACTTCTGATGGATACCAAATTGATCACATGGGCAAAGTCTTTGTTAAAAACTTTTAACTTTCCACACTGCCTCATATGCATATTTTTCAGACACTAACTCAAGCTGGAGAGAAACAACAAGAGGGTCACATGGTCCTCAAGCCTGTCAATCAGACAGACAAATAGGGACAAATTAAGCAACAAATCAAACAAAACATTCATGAACCAGAGCCAAATTCGATAAAACTCCAGCATGAGGAGTGCCTCGCGAACACAAGTTGGTGTTAAAATACCCCCGAAATTTGAAAATGCCTAACCCCTAGCCCCAAACTCGATGCCTAAAACCGAAAACCCCAAACCCAATGCTTAAAACCTAACACTCACTGTAACCCCTAACCCAAAACCTACTCCAGACCCTCAACCCATCACCCCATCCTCGCCCGACTCCACTGGCTTCCCATCATGCAGAGAATACAGTTCAAGATCCTGGTCCTCACCTTCAAAGCCCTCCATGGCCTCGCTGCCCCTACCTCTGCGACCTCCTAAACCCCTACCAACCTGCCTGCTCCCTCCACTTAGCGGGCTCCCTAATTTACTTACTGTGAAATATAATAAACATGTCACTCGTCGGGTTATTATTCAGTTAACCTGCTCTGTTATTACGAGGATTGCCTTCACTTCAATATCACTTGTGCTTATGTGCAGAGGCACAGGGCAATGTGAGATCAGTAAATCGCTTGCTCCCATTGCTACCATGTACACCATACTTTTTATTCTGGCAAAATAACTAAGAGCTTCAGACGTGGCTCATGCATGACATATTTAGGACAAGCAGACGTTGCTACACCCGGGTGTGAAAGTGACCACTCAGTTGCAGCAAGAAGGGGAAATATGGGGGGGAATAAAAGAGTTAACAGCCTAACCTAATTACTCATTCGAGAAAAATTAAAACTAGAGTAAAACCATATTTGATTAGATCACAATATCTTGATAATTAGTAATACTTTTAGGTAAACAATAAATAAGATAGAAATGACAGCAATCAGAAACCTCTGATTAAACACTAATAAATGTGTGATATTCAATCCAAACAAGGAATCACAATGATCACCTGAGTATTGAAAAGATCACTGATGATTATATTAATTCTATTACAAAAATCACAATGCTGACCGCATTAAAAAAAGTAAATAAATATCAACAACTGAAGGCAACCAGGGCAGACTGATCAATAGAGGACTCTTGGAGTTAGACTATTGTTCCAGGTCTCCATCTGAATAGGAACTTGTAGTGGGTTCTGCCAGGGATAACTGTTGAATGTCATTAGTTTTTGCAGAATTTAAGAGAAGTGGATACAGACTTAATGTTTATTGCTGGAAGATAAAAAGTATTGCATTCAAATAAAAATTCTTATACTAGAAAAATTTGTTTGACTCAAGTCACGATTCCCCTCAACCCATTGGATGTTGGTCACTTTATTGATAATAGTAAGGCCAAAGCGACTGACAGAGAGAACTGATTGGACTTCAAAACTCAATAAATCATAAATAAGAGTAAGACACTGTGACAAGGTCATATTAATCATTTCTTTCATAACCTTTGTTTGTCACAATGAATAACAGTAATACCATGCTACCACTTGATGACATTATCTGCAGCCATGGGGTCAACTTCAACATGTATGCCAATGACACCCAGCTCTATCTCTCTGCCTCCACTCTGGACGCCAGGAGTGCTGACACTACATCTGTCAGATATCAAGTCCTGGATGAGAGCTAACTTTCTAAAGTTGAATATCAACAAGATCGAGGCCCTCCTGATTGGTTCCCATCAGCACCTCCTCACCTCGGGCGCTGACAGCATCACCATTCATGGATGCACACTCCACCTTACTAGGGCAGTCAGGAACCTTGGCGTCTTGCTCAACTCTCAACTATCCTTTCTACCCCACATTCGTGCCATGACCCACTTTGCCTTTCCCCACCTCTGCAACATCACCCAGCCCCACCACTGTATCTCCTCTCAGGCCACCGAAACCCCCATTCACGCATTCATTACATTTAGGCTCAACTACATCACCTCCCTGCTTGTTGGTCTTCACAACTCTTACCTCCACAAGTTGCAGCTCATGTCCTCTCCTGCACCAGGCTCCATGAACCTATCACCCCACCCTCACCAAGCTCCCCATCTCCCAGAGTATAGTTCACCCTCACCCCTTCCTACTTCTGTGACCCGCTAACCCCTTATTAACCTGTCCGTTCAGCAGGCTCCGGCCTGCTCCATGTGCCCTGCCCAGCACACCCCACCATCGGCAGTCAGGCCTTCAGCCTTTCTGCTCATACACTTTGGAACTCCATCCTATAGTCCCTTCACCTCACTCCCTTCCCTCCTTCAATGCACATCTCAAGATCCTCTACTTCAACCGCACCTTCGGCCACCCTCCTATCCTCCACCCCCAACATCCCAACCCCCTGCTCAGATCCAAATCCCTGACTGTCTAGCACTTTGGGACGTCCTCCTGACATGAAAGGCGCTATAGAAATGTAATTTGTTGTTACTTTCCAGTATTCGAGTAATAGTTTTACTCAACTACTGGATAGCATTGAGCACTTGCACCCATCCTTATCTTATACCTTTGCTGAGAAAATTAAATCATTGTGTATGCATGATCCTTTATCGGATGTACGCATTTTTTCAACATCCATATGTACACAGTTAAGACTTAATTTTTGTAAATTAAAGACTATAATGTGATATCTGTACAGTATATGTCAGCATGAGCAATAGTGAACTTTTTGAATTGACTGGATGAATGTAAATTGCAATACTAGATGCCTCAATCTATCAACATGCAAGCTGCAGGGGTTAGAATGGATGAGTTCTTGTTATGAATGCTGGCAGAATATGCATCATTGATAAAGGCATTCCCTATTTGAGACAAAAGTGAAGTAAAGCTGTAATGCAACAATTGAAAGGACATCACCAATAACTTAGTTTACACAAAATGTAAAAAACATCATAAGGGCAAAGTCAAATATACTTTCTGTAGAGAGAGGGAATAACTAACTTGCATTTTCCTTCAATATTTTGTGAACAAACATCTGGGATAAAAACTTGATAACAATCACCATTCTAACATTGATTAAAAACTTGATAACGATCACCATTCTTTAACATTCTCTCATGAACAATATGAAGTAATCTCTCACCTACTTAATATAGCCACTTTCTTAAATAAACATCATACGAGAATTTAAAAAACTTGCAGCAGCAAATAAGAAATAAGATAAAATGTTATGAATCTCAGGTTTATCAGCATTTGAAAGACCAAAACCAGTTAAAATGTTTAAATGTTTCACTGCAGCAACACCATCTTCAGAAGATTCAGCTGAGGGACTCGTGGTCAACATTTTCTGCTATTTCAATAATGTGCTGGGAATCCATTATGCATTACACACAACGCGAATTTGGAAAGTCAAAATACCCAATTACCACTGCAGATCAGGAACAATCTTCATTGCTGTCACTGAACAGTTGGGTTCGGATCCAATTCCTTAACTCTCGATTCTGTTCTTGCATCTGCTGTCCTCCATCTGAAATGGGCAATATTGCAGAAATGAATAAAATGTAAGCTTTGTAATAATAGTCTTACTGAAGCCTTTAATCACACCATTGAAAACAGAATTACAGTAGAAAATTGCTGACCACCACAAATTTGGAACAACTTTATTTTGGATAAGGAAATAGTGCAGACAAGTGGTTATCACAGAATTCTTAGCATTTTAGCCAATTTGTTATGTGATGATACGTTCTATCAGAAGTTACATTGTCACTATAGTGTCAGTTTTCTCTGCTATTCTGATTTTTTGAACTGTCTGGAATTTCTATTTGTCTATATAACTTGCTCTCTCTTTATACCCATCTCTAATCCGACACTGTAGATTACTAAATAAACACAGCATAGCACTGACACACGGCCACAGTGTGGAAAGTGCAACTGACTCACGGCCACAGTGTGGAAAGTGCAACTGTCAAATACACCTTTTGTAGAGAGAGGGAGTCCCAAACTTGCAATTTCTTCCAATGTTTTGTGAACAAAAGTCTGGGTGTAAATTTTTCAGTACAAGGGTCAACAAGGACATCATGTAGTCAGGGTAGGCATTAAAATTATAGTTTTGTTTGATACAAGTTAACAGGCACAGATTAAATAACATGGTTATAAACTGGTTGAATACCAGCAGTTTCTATCAATAAGCAACATGTAATCACATTCAATAAATCTTACAACAAATACATACACAATTCAGAATTAGTATTGCTGAGTTGGAACATTGCGTGGATTCGTGGGGGTGTAATCATACTACCAGGCTTTCTGGGCATTTGCCTGGAGATCTCATCAAGGTCTGTTTTTTTTCCCCTGCCTTGCACGGCTCTCTTCCCCTCTCTCTCCGTCTTTCGTTCCCTTCCGTCTGGCTGCACTTCGGATTCGATGATCTTATGTGTCGATGTCCCTTATTGAGCTGATTGTCTGAACTGTCTCGGCTACATACTACATACATACTGGCTGTATCCCTTTGAAACTCCGCTCCTCTGTTACTACGCTTTCACTGGTTCAATCTCCTATCGTTCAGTTACCTAAGTTCCAGTATCGACTGTACGCACGGCAGCTGGTCACTTGGTAACACCGACTCCTGACAGTCTCTGTATCGTCAGCTTGCACAACCTCCGAGTCAGCAGAGCTAAACTGTCCCTCCTCGTTGGGTCGCTCCTCTTGTCTTCTGTAGTCTTCGCCAAAAACTTCCTCTTTGGTGTCTTGGTCCGAATCCCTAATGCCAGCAACAAGCACAGTGGTCGGTCGCTTTTTTCCTGCTCCGAGTTCTCAGTGTCGGTAGTTTGCACGATCTGGAGTCCACTGAGCCAGATGCCCTCCTGTCTTGTGTGTTCCTCCTTTCTTCGATACCTTTCCTTTCTAAGCTTCCTATCTTTATACCATTCTAGCAGCATCAGGACAATAACGTCCCTGTTAGACAAAGATGACTTATGTGCGTGTTACTATCTTTATTTCTTATCTCGTCCAGCTCGTACTGGCCTGTTCTCCTGTGTTTAGCGGTACGTGACTGGTTTCAAATTGTGTTAAGTGTACAACAACTTGGATTTATATAGCGCCCTCCACGCCAGACGGCGTCTCCGAGCGCTTCACAGTAATGGATCTCAGGACCAAGCCAGGGGGAGGGGGAGGAAGGTGACCAAAGGCGCAGTCAAAAAGAAAGGTGTTTAGCAGAGACCTGAACATAGGAAGGGAGGGAGTGAGGCAAAGTGAGTGAGGAAGTGAGTTCCAGAGCCTCGGGACACAGTGGCTGAAGGCACGGCCGCTGAGGGTGGAGCAGAAGACTCGGGGGATGAGGAGGAGGCCAGACCCGGAGGAACGAATGCAACGGGTACTGTTTCGAGGAGAGAGGTCAGAGAGTTAGGGGAGTGCAGGGACTTGAATACAATGGGTGAGGATCTTGAAGTCGATCCTCTCTGGGATAGGTAGCCATTGCAGTCTGGCAAGGACAGGGGTGATCGGGGAGTAGAGGTTCGTGCAGGTGAGAATGCGGGCGGCAGAGCTTTGGATGATTTGGATTTTACTGAGTGTGTACTGAGAATGGTTCTTTTACTCAGCCAGCACCTGGGTATTCTGTTGGGAGTGGTACTGCTTGTTTGTTATAATCATGACATTCTTGAAGGAAACTAAGTTTATTACTTCAGGCTTCTAACTATTATGCTAAACTACACCCAAATGGTCATATATTTACATGGGATACAAACTGAGAATAATTACCATTCTCTATAACAATATGACGCAATCTCCCTTACTTAACATAAGCACTTCGCTAAATAAACTCAATACGAGAATTTCTAAAGTACTGCAGGAGCAAACGATCTGAAATAAGATAAAATGCTACAAATCTCATGTCTATCAGGATCTGAAAGACCCAAATCATTTAAAATGTTGTAATGCAAGACAGCTGACAAGATTAAGCCAACTTTTACTTTCACATTCTGATGGATCTGCTTTCAACATTTTCCGGAAAAAAGTGATAGTGATTATGTATTGTACGCGAGTTGAATTTGGATAGTCAGAATACACAATTACCACAAGAGATCAGGAACAATCATTGCTGTCACAGAACGATTAGGTTTATATCGGATTTCTTAATTTTTCATTCTGTTCTTCCATCTGCTGTCCTCTGTCTGAAATGGGAAATATGCAGAAATGAATAAAATAGAAGCTTTGTAATGAGATAACAAGATTTTCCATCTTGGAAGTCTATATAAAAACAATTTTCATTTGTACAGTGTCCTTAATAATAATAATAATAATGCTTACATTTGATATAGCGCTTTTCACGTCGGGAGGACATCCCAAAGCGCTTCACAGAACACACTGTAAAGTGAATTGACTGTATATTTGTGGGCGAACGCGGCAGCCAATTGCGCACAGCAATGTCCCACAAACAGTCATAGATTGAAAATGACCAATTTATTATTGTTTTTGGTTTTTTTGGAGGGATTATTATCAGGCGTGTGGAGTAAGGAAACTTGCCCAAGGTTTCGCCCTGCCTGGAATTGAACTCAGGTCTCTCGCTTACAAAGCGAGTGCTCTTACCACTGAGCTACAGGACTCCACACCCAGGGTAGCATCCCAGAGCTCTTGACAGTGGCAGAGTCTGAACCTGAGCCAGGGGAAGAGGGAGCAGGGGGAAGGTGAGCGTAAGCACGATCAAAAAGGAAGGTCTTCAAGCGGGATTTGAAGGTGGAGAGGGAGGGGGCAAGGCGGAGTGATTGCGGGAGAGAGTTCCAGAGTTTTGTTGGCATAGTGGCTGAAGGCATGGCCACCAATGGTGGAGCGGAGGGGACAAGGGACAAACAGGAGGCCATAGCCAGCCAAGTGGAAGCAACAACAACAAACTTACATCTGTATAGCACCCTTCACGTCGGCAGGACGTCCCAAGCCACTGGACAGACAGTTACAGACGCGAGCAGGGGAGTGGGGTGCAGAGTAGGAGGGGAAAAAAGGGAAATTGCAAGCACGGTCGAAGAGGCGGGTCTTGAGGTGGGTCTGAAGGTGGCAAGATGGAGGGACTATGGGATGGAGTTCCAGAGGGTGGGGGCAGAGTGGCAGAAGGCCCGCCATCCAATGGTAGGGCGAGCAAGGTGGGGGACATGAAGCAGGCCGGAGCCCGCTGAGTGGAGGGAGCAAGCAGGGTGGTAGGGTGTTAGGAGATCGGGGGAGCAAGACCATGGAGGGCTTTGAAGGTGAGGACCAGGATCTTGAACTCTATCCCGTGTGATGGAAAGCCAGTGACGCTGGGCAAGGATAGGTGTGATAGGGTCACAGAGCCTAGTGCGGGAGAGGACACGGGCTGCAGAGTTCTGGATGATTTGCAGCCTTTGGAGGGAGGAGTTGGGGAGGCCGACAAGCAATTAGTTTGCATAGTCAAGCCTCAATGTAATGAAGGTGTGTATGAGGGTTTCAGCGGCCTGAGATGCGAAACAGTATTGGAGCCGGGCGACGTTTCAGAGGTGAGGGAAGACAGAGAGGGTCATGGTACAGATGTGCAGTAGAAAGGACAGTTGAGGGTCAAACAAGACCCAAGGTTCTGGACTGGACAGCAGTGGATGGTGGAGTTGGGGGTAAACAGATCAGATAGGTAGGGAGATGCAAGGGGCAAGAAGGGATTTCAAAACGAGTGAGAATCTTGAAATCGATCCATTCTGTAAGTGGGAGCCAGTGGAGCCTGGCAAGGACTGGTGTGATGGGGGTACGGAAATTTGTGCGGGTGAATATCCAGGCGGAGTTTGGGGTTAATTGAATATTGTGTGCGGTGGAGCTGGGGAGACCGTCAAGGAGGACATTCATATACAATGCATGTAAACAGTAAGCATGTTTCTTGTGCTCGTCTTAAACAATAAAAAAAAGCCCATTCACAAGCAAATAATATTCGTAAAGTATTTAGGTTTATGCCAACATGCCTGCAAACTAATGTAATAAACATAAGTTTACAAACTGGTACAAAGGTTGGTGAACAAACAAAAAACATTGCCTACTTTGCTTTCCTCAAGTTATGAATTTATTAAATATGGAAGGAAACTTAGAAGACTAAATTGTTGGTTGTTTTTCTGGTTATTTTGCCAACTGTAGTAATTTGTTCAAACTTCCACAACAACTACACTACATTGGGACATCCCAAGGTGCTGAACAGTCAGGGATCAGGACCTGAGCGTGAGGGGCAGAGGTGGGATGAGGGAGGGCAGAGGGAGTAGGAAGGCGGCTGAAGGCACAGTCAAAAAGGATGGTCTTTAGTATGGCTTAAAGGAGGCAAGAGAGGGAGCAAGGCGAAGGAATTGCGGGATGGAGTTCCAAAGAGTGGGGGCAGAAAGGTTGAAAGCCTGGCCACCGATGGTAGGGCAGGTCGGGTGGGAAAGCTGAAACAGGCCGGAGCCTGGTGAGTGGAGGGAGAAGACAGGTTGATAGGGGGTCAGCAGGTTAGAGATGTAGGAGGGGGCAAAGCCGTGGAGGGTCTTGAAAGTGAGGACAAGGATTTTGAATTCTATCCTCTGAGGGATGGGGAGCCAGTGGAGCTGGCGAGGGTGGGGGTGATGGGGTCACAGAGCTGGTGTGGGAGGGGACACGAGCTGCAGAGTTGTGGATGATCGCAGCTTGTGCAGGGAAGAGTTGGGGAGGCCAATAAGGAAGGAGTTTCCACAGTTGAGCCTTGAGGTGACGAATGCGTGTATGAGGGTTTCGGCAGCTTGAGGCAGAGACAATGGTGGAGTAGGGCAATGTTGTAGAGGTAGGGGAAGGTAGAGCATGTCACGGCACGGACATGGGGGAGAAAGGACAGTTGAAGGTCAGACGCCCAGGTTCCTGACTGACTTGGTGAGGTGGAGTGTGGAACCGTGGATACTGATAGTGCCTGAGGTGTGGACCTGCTGGCGTGAGCCAATCAGGAAGGCCTCAGTCTTGCTGACATTTAGCTGTAGAACATTGGCTCTCATCCAGGACTTGATGTCAGGCAGACAGCCTGTCAGGACATCAGTTGTACTGAAATAAAGGTGGAGGCTGAGAGATAGAGTTGGGTGTCATCCGCATTCATGTGTAAGTTGGCCCCCATGTCTGCCGATGATGTCACCAAGGGGGAGCACGAGGAGGTTGAAGAGGAGGGGACTGAGGACAGAGCCCTGAGAACGCCACATGAGACTGTGCAGGGGCTGGAAGAGAAACCGTTGGAGATGGTGTGAGAGATAAGACCAGAACCATTTAAGGACAGAACCCGGAAGGTTGAAGTGAGAGGAGAGGCAGTGGAGGAGGATGGAGTGGTCCACAAGATCAAAGACAGCAGAGAGGTTGAGGAGGATGAGGAGGCAGAGGGAGCTCTGGTCACAGATGGACAAAATGTCATTTGTCACCTTGACCAGAGCAGTTGCAATGCTGTGAGGGGCACGGAAACCAGATTGTTGGGGTTTGTGAAGGGAGTGGTAAGAGAGGAATGAGCAAAGCAACAACTCTTTCAAGGACCCTCAAAAGAAAAGGGAGGTTGGAGATGAGCTGGTAGTTAGAAAGCAGGGATGGGTCCAGGGAAGATTTTTCAGGATGCGGGTGATTGTAGCTGTTTAGGAGATTGGAGCCAGATGAAAGGGAGAGATCGATGGTGTCGGAGAGCAGAGGGCCGAGGAGGTGGAGCTGGGTGGTAGGGAGAGGGGTGGAGTGTTTCATGCTGGATATGGTGGTGATGAAAAAAGGGAAAACAGGTTTGAAAATGTGGACGGAGAGATTGGTAGGGGTTGGAGTGTGGTGGGGCAATGGGGAGGGAGGGGCGGTTGGGAGGGCGGAGGCAGCTGAACGGATCCCCTCAATTTTGGACATAAAGAAATCCGGCATCTCCTCACAGTCAAAGCATAAGGAGAGAACGGACGAGGCGTGGAAGATGGATGGAGGAACCGATTGGTGGTGGAGAATAGAATAGCCTCTAGTTGTCCTTCACTTCCAAGATTATCTTGGAGTAGAAGGATGATTTGTCGGAGGCAAGGACAGAGCGGTAAGTAGACACAATTACATTGTTGGTTGAAAACTAATAACAAATATTTGATCAGTTAAATTTGTTAAGTCTGTCTGAAAGTCAGAAGAATAACCAAACTATTTGAATTATTGAAGCCTTTAAACACAATTGCAAATTACACTGTAGATTACTAACTAAATGTTTCCAGCACTGACTCACGGCCAGTGTGTGGCTAAATCACGATCCTAGCAAGCTTACACATGCTTAGCATTGCATATCCTAGATTTTCTCTTTGAAAATCTAGGATACTTAGACCCCAATTTTACAATAGAGTAATATGACATTGCATCAGATCTGCAGTTTTATACTGAAGACCCAATCCTGATAAATAGTTGAAGATGACTTGCACAATTCTAGTTTCATGCAGACAGGTGTAGATTTAAATATGCAAACTCTACATCCAAACAAGTAACACACTTACGGGATTTGATACTTCTCCTACATTCCGTCATTTTCAGGATCCAGTTCCACAGCCTTGCTGTCGCATGCAATTGTGATACTTATCCAACTTGTGATGCTTATCCAAAGTTGGTAAAGCTATCTGTAAAGAAAGCAGAGATATAGAACATTTAGGAGAAATATTCAAACTGGTTCATGGTAAATACAGAATTGTTGAGAGTTAGTGTATGAATGGGAAGATCACACATTAGCCATTTAGAATTTACTAGGAAGATTTCCTGCATACAACAAGCAACTTTCAAATTACCCATCATTTGAAAAGTTTTGGTATAATCCACCATCATCAGTGTGGACTGCAGCATGCAGATTCTAGTCAGTGCACATTACAAATGAAGCAAGAGACCAATTTCAAGGTTGAATATATTGAATATAAGAAATCATGAAATTGAATGCCAGTACATATTTACATACACAGAAACAGGAGTAGGCTATTCAGCAATATGGTGAAAAGGGACCACTTCTGGGTAAAAAATTACACCCTTGAGCCTGTTACACCATTTTATAAGATCATGGCTGATCTATACCTCAAGTCCAGTTACCCACCCTTGCCCCATATCCCTTAATTCCTTGACCTAACAAATATTTATCTACCTCCATCTTGAAGTAGGCCAGCAACCTTAATCCTTCGGCAGACAAGACTAAACCTACACGACAAGCAAATTCCATCTCACTCATGTAATCTCCTGGAAGCTCTCTGTGATGCATTCATCCATCACATTTCATTTCTGCTACACAAGCTTACTTGAATCTTTTTTTAAAAAAAACAGAAAAAGTAGTCCACAATTCCCCAACAGAGGACAAGATGGTAAAACCTGCTGGTGTAATAAGCCTGATGTTCTTAACTCCTACACTATACCCTATCAATATGTTCCTTTGACAGCCTAGATTATAACTGAAATTCAATTGTGCAACTGCAGCCACAATCCTATGATATACCCATGTGCTGCCCACCTAGAATTGTAGTTCACTCATTGTTTCCTGCATATTAACATAGCTCCCCCACCTTATTAACCATTGAAGCACATCTGGCGAATCCGTGGAGATTGGCTGAAGGCCGTCTGTGAAGTAATTTCAAAGGCTGCTTCCAAGCACTGTATGGCAACTGAATGAGAAGAAAAAAAATCAATGTAAATCCTGTTGATAAACCAAGACTACACTGGTATTGGAGTAAACTCCTGACAACGGCTTAACTTGTCATTGCCACTCACGTCATCATGCTGTCAATATCCCAGACGCATTTATGTATTATATTTATACTAATGCCTCAGTCGCCATTCCAGATAAATATCACTGAGCCCTTCCTTCTCCCTTGGAGTGACAAGTTATCAGGAGTCTATTGTATATAAAGTACACTTTCCAAAACCTAATCTGTCTGGAGATACAGTTTATTGAAGGGCTGAAGTATTCGAGAGCATTGAGGCAATTTGTCACAGGGTAGCCAATAAGAGAAATGAGGTGTATTGTTTTACCCAGACGTGGTCCCTTTTCACCATATTTCAGAAGTTGTCACATATTGCTAGTTAGGGAGTAAGGCAATCTACTTTGCAATCCTGTTTTCCACAAACATTTCTATTTATATAGTGCCCTTTACACAAGGTGATGTCTCAAGGCCCTTTACAAGGATGGGGTTGGATGCCAAGCAGAGGGGAGGTGGTGACCACTGGCACATTTGATGAGGTAGGATTTGAGGTGAGAATTAAAGATGGAAAGCAAGGGAGTGAGACAGAGTGGTTGAAGGAAAGAGTTCTGGAGACTGGGGGTAGGGGGGTAGGAAGGGCTCAGCCATCAATGGTGGTGGGGAGAGAGCAGAGGAACATCCAGCAAGCCAGAGTTAGCTGAGAAGTAAACGGCTGAAGAGATAAGGGGGTACCAGGGAATGAATGGATTTGCAGGCAAGGACCTCTAAATTAAATCTGCCTTCAAGCTCAATTTATAAGGCTGAGCATGACCAACTTGATCAACTCTAGCCACACCTGTCCTGTATCATTTCATTTTTGTTTAAACTGAGCACCTCAAAAATCTTCTGTTACACGAACGGGTTTATATTTACAGTACATTTTTACAGAACAGCTTAAAGGGCAAATAAATTAGTATTCTTTTAAGTGACTTACAATCTCCCAGATAAAGTTGATCATGCACTTCATGGCTTATTGCTCATGGGTTCATGGCTTATTGTGTTATGCACAAATTGCCTGCTTAATATCCACTTAAACAGATCTTTGGTGCAACAGCTCATCCAAAGTATTTGCAACAATACATTGCTCCCCTAGTACTACATTGGATTTTCAAACCAACCTATGATCCAGAAGCAACAGTGCTATCAACTAAGCCAAATTTAAACATTATAGACATTAAGCACATTCAAATCAATAAACATTTGGAGAAGATTTAAAAAATTCCAATTAAGATTTGGCCCCTTTTGTTTCTACATCCAAACATAAAAAGTCATCAGCTACTTTAACATTGTAATCGTATATTTTAATAGAACTACAGCATCCAGAAAGCAGAGAAAGCTGTCAGCAAAATATACTGCATGAATTAACAAATCCGCCAGCAGACAGTGGAGGTAACATAGCAATGCAGAGAAATACCCATCAATCTGGTCCAATTCAAATGAGCTGTTCTTTTCAAAGCTACTTAACCAAGAACAGATACCAAGAGGCTAATTTGGGGTTCAAAACCATTACCTTGAGAGTGAATTTAAGAACAGTTTTTTTGCATAATTGTTCCCCCCTCCATTTTTCTCCTCTCTGCAACGGTAGCACAGAAACCAACTGCTTATAGGCAAGTTCAGGAAATTTTCAACTAAATAAATTTCAGTACCTGTGAAGAGAAATGTGCTGAGGCAACATTAAATGGAACAGATGGAAATATTCTGTTCTCAGGAGTTGGCAAAAGATTGGCACATTGTCTTAATGACACAGGCTCACAATTGATCAATTTAGTGTGACCTTCTCACCCCCAGAAACTAACAAAATCTCCAGAAACATACAAAATGGCTGAATTTTAAAGTAACCTGCTGGGATAAGTCATACCTGCTCTATGTTACATGGCTAAGTTTGCCAGATCACAGCCTGGGCAATTTTCCCTGGAACAGCAAAATAAAATTGAGGGTAGTACAGTAGAGCTACACCCACAGTACACAGGTATAATTCCAGGCAAGTGTAGGTGCAACTCAATCTGTTTAAGATACTCTTAAGCACATGTCAGACTACCAATTGACCAGAGAACCAAAAAATGCTATATTCTCTTAAGACTACAACATCTTAAAACATTCCCAAAACAATTTAAAAGGCTCCAGTACTGTACAAAGAACTGCTTCAACTTGTTTCTTGAAAATAAAATTAATAATTTCAGGAATGCTGTCTCTGTCTCCATTATTTTATCCTTTTTACAGATGCAAAAGAGCAAGGCCACAGTACTGTATTCTTCAGTCAATATTTTCTCCAACTTCACCTAGGACTGGAATAAGTTTGAAATACAAGCTCTGTTGCTAGCTCTGGATGCACAAGCCATTAGCAGTAGACTAGGATGCTCTTTGCTTTGTGAAATCTTACTTTACCCATTTATCTGAAACCAACCCCCATATGAAGGGCACTATATAAATTGCAAGTTGTTGCACTTGGAAAGATGCTGAGATTCTTGATGTTAGAAACAAAAAATATACAGACTCCAGCAAACAAAAACAAACATATGTTATTTTCTCTCTGTGTAGATACTCACACAGTCTCTCAGTCACTCTCTCCAGACTCACAGCTGCAGAACACAGGCGCCACCTCCCAGTGTTATGTGCAAACCCCAGGAATCAGGGCAGGTCCATCTCACTGTCACTCTGCAGCCATCTCTGGTCTGGGATATGAGCAAACCTCAAAGCCCTGGCTAGCAAGTGAGCCCCTGAGAAAAGTGCCAGAGCATCAGACGACCTATATATATATATATTTTAAAAAGTCACATTGTTGCTGAAACTCTCCTGTTGGCTGTGGGTGGAAGGACTGTGCAGGGAAAGGTGCAAATGCTGAGATGTGCTGATGATGATTGACTTTTTCAGAGCCCTGAGTTTCTTTCCTATTATTGCCCTCAGGAGGGGTCTATTGCAGGATTTCCTCCAGGTGCAAAGGATTATTGCACGAATTGGTCAGTTGTGCCAAGAAGCCAGTTCAATTGGATAATTGATTTGACCTTTTTCGTATTAGTTTCTCCCCCTTCTAGCTCATGGAGCTTTCCCTGTTATTTCAGGTAAATCTGCAGAGAATCTGAACAGGTGACAATTGGGGCACAAAAGTTGCAGCCACTTGTCTGGGGTCACCCTGGTCTGGCCTGATCTGATTTGGCCAAGACCAGGGTCAACCTGACCTGATCTGAAAGTACTGCAGAAAAAGCAGCTCCATTTGCACACCCCTAAAGTTTGTGACGATTGTAAAGTGCACAGCAAATACACTGCACTTATACTGTACCGCATGCTCTTTATTTAAATATAACAGAACACATCCGTACCTACATGGTGTCTTTTTGATCTCACAAATAAAGGGTTTTAATTTGCCCGTGTATGACTTTTTGGTGAATAATATTTCAATGCCTCTCCGGACTTGTCAGCGCTGGGGAAATGTTTAGTTAATTTTTTTACGAACAAGTCACAGGATTGAGGAGAGCAGCAAGGAGATCTGACGCGAATTTAGTAACTTGCAGACATTGTGTGATCGTGACACCGTTAATCATTGAGTAACGCCAAACCATGTTTGATATTGTGTGGTCTGCCACCACCCCCACTTCTTCCTTAATTGAACCTCAGTCATGAATATGGACTGCTACAACAACAACAACAACAACAAGATTCCATTTATAGAGCGCCTTTCACGTCGGGAGGACGTCCCAAGGCGCTGGACAGTTGGGTCAGGACCCGAGGTGGGGGGAAATGGTCAGGGTGAGGGAAGGGAGGGAGCGAGGAGGGGGGAAATGGTCAGGGTGAGGGGAGGGAAGGGAGGGAGCGAGGAGGGGGTAGAGAGTTGAGAGGGGAGCTGAAGGCTCGGTCAAAGAGAAAGGTCTTGAGACCGGCCTTGAAGGAGGAAAGGGAGGAGGCGGCGTAGGCACTGGGGGATAGAGTTCCAGAGCCTCGGGGCTGAGAGGCTGAAGGCCCGGCCACCGATGGTAGGGCGGTTGGGGCGGGGGGTGTGGAGCAGACCGGAGCCAGAGGAACGGAGGGTACGGGCAGGTAGGTAGGGGGATAGTAGGTCGGAGAGGTAGGAGGGAGCAAGGCCGTGAATGGCCTTGTAGGTGAGGATGAGGATCTTGAATTCGATGTACACACTGCTACCCAGTGTGTACATTAGGATTGATTGGAATGCTTAAAAGGGGCCCCAGTTCAAAACTGCCCTGAAATTTACAAAATGAGCACTGGCTTGATATGGTTTAGAAATATATTCTATGGATTTGTGAAATGCTACAGTTCATTTTGCTTTTCACTCAATAGGTCATTTGTTTATTCAACTCACCCAAATGTAATTATTGGTATTGATTTTGTACAGGTGTTCAGAGAGCTACTTCTTGACACCCCACGCAGGCCTAAAGTGGCCATGGGTTGTTGATCACTGATGTAATAATTATAATAATCCTTGCATTTGATATAGTGCCTTATCGGGTCTTCGAGATGTTTTAAAGCGCTTCACAGAATATACTGTAAAGTGAATGCCTGTATATTTTTTGTAGGAGAAACGCGGCAGCCAATATCACACAGCAGTGTCCCACAAACAGTCGTGACCAATTTTTTAGTTTTTTTTCTTTTGAAGGGATTATTACCCCCGGAAATGCAATCCGTCAATCTGGGTTCCTACTTACTGCTAGGTAAATAGAGATGTGTGGAGTAAGAAAACCTGCCCAATGTTTTGCCCTGCCGGGAATCGAACCCAGGTCTCTCACTCGCGATGCTTTGTAAAGAGGTGAAGGAAAAAATAGATGTCTTACAAAAGATTGTGCGTCCAATTATTGCTGTTAACCCATGCAACAATTAATAATAATAATCCTTGCATTTGATATAGTGCCTTATCATCTCGTTGAGAAGTCTCAAAGAGCTTCACAGAATGTAAGGTATGTAAAGTGATTGTCATTGTAAAGGTTTATTCTATATTTTGGTACAAAACATGTCATGGAGTGCAAAAAGAAATTTACATTTATATAGTGCCTTTCACAATGGGAGGACGTCCTGAGTTAGGGGTAGGAGCTGACAGAGGTGTGGGGAGGGGCAAAAATGATGGAAAACGCAGTCAAAGAGGAAGGTCTTGAGACGAACCTTGAAAGAGGTGAGAGCGAGGACGGGTCGCGGTTACTCTGAGATGTAGTTCCAGAGAGTGGGAGCAGATATGTGCTCAATGTGGACAAGATGGAAGCCATACTCCTTTGCTCCCTTCAATGGCTTCACTCCTGTGGATCTGAACTCCTCAACCTCTCTGGGCTCTTCCTCAGATTCACCGAACCAGTGAGCAATCTAGGCATCCGGTTCGATCCCCAGCTGTCCTTCCTTCCCTGCATCCGGTCCCTGACCAGGACATCCACCTCTGCCACATTGCCCAGCTTCGACTGTACCTTACCCCAAATGCAGTTGAAACCCTCATGCGTGTATTTGTCACCTCCTGCCTGGATTACTCAAACCCCCTCCCCCCGGTCTCTCCAGCTCCACTATTCAAAAAATCCAGCTCATTCAGAACTCTGCTGCCCACATACTTACCCAGAACAAACTCTGTACCCACATCTCACCAGACTCCACTGGCCCCCCATCACTAAATGGATCGACTTCAAGACCCTCATACTCGTGTTGAAATCCCTTCCCGCCCTGGCACCTCCCTACCTCTCCCACCTCTTCACTCCCCAATCCACCGCTCGACTGGCACCAGCCTCCTGCTCATCCCTCGCTCCCTTCTCTGCACCATTGGACCTCACACATTCAGCCTGCGTGGAGGGCACTGTAAAGCTACACCCCGAAACTCTGGATCACTGTCCCTCAGACCCTCCACTTTGCCCCCTCTCTACTCTTTTTCAAGTCCTACCTAAAAACCTTCCTTTTCGACCGTACTTACAGTTACTCCCCCACCCCTCCCCCCCTCTGGCCCGGAGTCAGGCTCCGCCACTGTTAAGCGCTCTGAGACACTACCCTGCGTGGAAGGTGCTATATAAGTGCAAGTTGTTGTTAATATAGAGGAATAAAACCACCCTTTTTTTTAAGGTTTTCCCAACCTTAACCTCAAGAAGCCCAGGCTCAGCTCAGCTTAGCCATGCAGCCCAGACTGAGATCAACAAATGCAGCACTCTTTGAATCAAATCAGCAAAGCTGCAGCTCAATCCACAACCATCAGGGAAGCCCTCAAATAGATTTTTTTTAAAATATATAAATAAACTTGGTTCAATGTAAATTCAGCTGAGGATGAAAATGTTTTATTTAGCACAGTTGCAAAATTGAGTTTGTGAAATCTCATAAACATTGATTGAATCTTACGTTCTATTGGCAGGAAAACATTAAAAAAAAACTGAAATGCTGATTTCACTTCGAGCAAAAGCAACAGAACTCTTGGGATTCAGTTCCCCATTGTACTCGAATGTACATGGTGCGAAAAGCTGAATATGTGATGAAATTCTTAGGTTTGCTCCTTTGATTGAAATTTCCTGCAGTTTTGAACTCACATTTTTTAAAAAGGTATGTTTGTAAGATCAGTGACATTCTGGTGCATTGCTGTCGGCAAACAGGAAGAAAAGACAAGGCGGTTTACCAACTGCTATAGCTTGTAAAATGTTTGGTGGTTACTTTTTCCTACGTCTCATTGCAGTCATTTGTCTGGTAACACAAACTGATATAATTTCTTGCCAATGCGTGCTGCAGCTTGTTGAACCTACTGACACATCACAAAATACTGAAGTTCCATTTGCTGTCTGTCACTTAATAAATTGCCCATTTTAGTGTAATCTCTGTGGTTAGATAATAATAATCCTTGCATTTGATATAACGCCTTAACATGCTGAAACACCTCAAAGCACTTCACAGAATGTACTGTAAAGTGGATATTTTGTGGGCGAAAAGTGGCAGCAATTGTGCACAGCAGTGTCCCACAAACACACGGATTGAGTGACCAAACTTTTATTTAATTTTTTTTTGAAAGGATTATTTCCCCTGGAAAACAATCCGCCAATCGACTAACAACCAGGTTCCTATAGAGTGGAGCCCACGGTGCGAAAAGAGAAATAAAAAAAAAGAGAAACTCCAAAGACTTGCCCTCTTTAAGAGCAGTGAAGACATGCTCTCCCAGGGTTCACTTTTCCTTTGCACTAGAGGAGGAGATATATGGATTGATGTAATTTACTGTTTTCCTTGTGTGTATCAGTAAGTTTGCAGCACTTTACAAAGTGGTTGGTTTTTGTTTTCCTTAAGCTGAAAAAAAAACTTTTTTCCATTTGCCATATTTTAATAAAAAATTGTCCAAGTAACATCTATTGCTTCCTGGGGTTACATTCCAGGAATTGTAGGCCAAGAATTTGCATTCTTGTAAAGCAAAATAAATATATATATGTTTTTGTTTACTAGATTTTTAGGACTAATTGTCCAAATACTGATGTTGTTCCAAGAATGTCATTGTAATTTTGATCGATAAATTGCTAGATTTTTTACATGCATTTTTGTTAAATCTGAAATTAAATGTATAGAAACATACAAGAAAGCTGTTGGGGCCATCAACCCTCCACAGAGTTAGGGTATAGCTTCAATCCCACTGCCCCACCTTATCCCTATACACCTTAAAGCCCCTGTCTTCTATATGCCTGTCAACTTGTTGAAGGCAACAATGAAATCCGCCTCCACCACCCAACTTGGCAGAGCGACACTTGGGAAGTCACAATTCATTATCT